AGGAATGACTGAAAACACAGAGCTTTTAGCTTTGGCTTTCTTATAAAAACTTCTAGTATCTGAGTGCGCTACATTTTGCATTATCACCACCATCGTCCCCCGTTATGTCATCAGGGAGGGGTAGATCGATGTACTGTACCGGTGGTTAGTATGCTTAATGCTTTCCTAATAAGTCTGGTATCCTGGAACTATTTTAAATGAAAACAGCTAGTAAGTCTAATATATGCACCACTTTGTTATCCTGTTAACAGGGGAGAGATTTCTCCCAGGCAGCCTGATTTAGTCCATTAAAAACAAAACAAAACAAAAACACCCCTCTCCCGCCCCCCCAAACCCTGTCCTTTAAAAACAAAGAAAGAAGCTAAATATTTGTTTTAAGAGCTGGACACCACCGTCCTTCCACTAAGGGAGGTGGCCAGTTCCTGACTCCCAAGAAAAGCGATCTGAAGAAACAGTACAAGCATGTAAAATTTTTTGAAAAAAGCAAACATCCTTAGCCTCCTGCATTCCTTACTGCATATACGTCAAGTTACAATGAATCCTTAATGCCATTTGCTGAAGAAGGGAGCTATGGGATGGCCATTTGAAAAATAAATATAAAAGTCAAATTGCTTCAATATAGCAAGACATCTGATGTCAGCCTTTGAAAAAAATATTCACATTTAGAAAGTGCCATTGCAAATATACAGCAAAACTAATCTGTCTTAAAAATGATGCTTCACAGCCCTATCAAAAGTGCCACCTTTTGAACATGAGTTCACTTTAAAACATTGCACGGCTAAAAACAATGCATAAACAAAATTACCTACCTTTATTACAACAAGGTGCCCAAACATTAAAGCAAAACGTGATGGTTTTCAGGGGCACACGAAACATCCTGAAGATAGGAAGGACCCATTCAGACAGCATCCTTCAGGGCTTGATAAGATTATTCTCCTCATCCCTTTCCAGTCAGGACTGGACTTTGCCAGAATATGACCTGTAAGTCATTATTTTTGTGGAGATCGTTACTGTAAAAACCAAGCCACCGTTGAAGGTGGTTGTCTTGGTGCAGTGCTCCCATGGCTGACGTGTGTACAGCTTCCTCGTCCAAAGATGAAAATGGCAAAGCACTGATAAAAACAGCGGGAGTGGATGGGCTAGAGCAAATGGATTTAAATACCTGTTGCAAGGTAGAAAGCTACGTTATGGGTGTGTTCTCCAGGCACCAGAGCGCCCCTTCAGCTGCTTTCCGAAGCCAGAGTCTGGCAGTGGATCACTTGTCCTGTGATGAGCTTAACCACGGTGTGAGGCTGGGTCGCGGGGTTTGAAGCGTGTCCCGGCACGGTGGGAGACAGCTCCTGCCCCTTCCTGCCAAGCCCAAAGGCCCAGCGCAGTCGGGCTGGGGACGGGTCAGGGCCGAGCAGCGGGGTGGAAGAGGATGGCCTGGCTGAAGGCCTTGCAAAGGCCTGGGGAATCCCCACGATGGGCGCAGCAGCGAGGGCACATCGGTGCTAAAACACCAGGCTCAGTGAGAGCCTCTGTCATTGGCGACATCTTGCAGTCGTCTTAACAGAGCGGTGTGATTCTCCTGGCAGATTCGCTTGGCTGGTGCTTCAGTGCCATCTTCTAGGAGAATGCCTCTCTTCTTTGTGGGAGTTTCTCCTGTTCTAACCATGCTGTTAATTTCCTTTAGCCTCTGGAGAGGGGAAAAAAGAGTAGAGTTATCTCCCATCATTGCGACTACCAAAATACAAAGTACACTTTTGTGCATTGCGTTACAGGGGGATTACACGTGCTTCAGTTCTGGAGATCGGTGTTGTACCAAGCGCTGTGACAGACTAACCTTTTTAGTCACTGTACTGGTCTCTCTGTTACCATATGCTAGAGCCTCTCAGACACTCAAGCAAGTTTGTTGCTTCAACACATGCAGAGCTGAAAGGCCTTCCAGCCATAGTGATGACTGTTATGTTACAGCACAGAGACAACAGGTTCTATCTAGAATGAAGATGCTTCTGAAGGAGGATTTCCGCTTCCTTCTTGGTGACCAGAGATCACAGGATTTAGCCTATTACATATTCACCTGGTAAGGATTTCATGTTAAGAGCCGTTTGGTGGGTTTTTTCCCTGACTAGGTAGACAAGAGCATGCACTTGTGGTTAATGCTCTGCTCCTTGAACAGTCTCCATACCGCATAACCCGTGCGTTACCTGAAAGCAAAGGGTGGCATTGCCACGCCTCTCAAGGCTTGCATGTGTACCAGTACAAAGAGTAACTTCTCAAAGTACAGAAGTAGCTTGGACACCTAATTGCTTTACAGCTTCTTAGATACCTGAACTGACAGTTTGAAGAGGGTTAGATGAGAAAGTACATCTTAGCCAATGTAAAAAGAAAGGTGTGTTGCTCAATCTTCTCCAGTTTCACCACTGAAAAGAAAAAGGTAGAATTTAAGGATTTATAAAAGCAAACCGAAACCCTGTAGTCTCACCTTAGATGGGCTGCTGCTGAAATAATAAAATATTTTCTCTCGAGGAGAGAGAGCAGACTCATTTTTGTGTGGTGAGATGTAGACCGGGTGATTCTGGGACAGCTGTATTCTGCGAGGGGAGCCAATCCTTACAAACGGGTAGGGCGAGAGCGGAGGAGAATCGATCTGCTCAAGAGAAAATGAAAATCACTCAGTAGCTGGTATCTGATCTCAGGTGTCACTACCTTAAGGCTTTTGTGAGTTGGTCACCTTGAACACAGTGTAGTTTTTTCCCACTAATGTCATACTATACATACTTACAACAGATTCAAGTTTTGTTATGTTATCAGGCCAGATTAGTACTTCTTTTTACTTACTTTTCTAACCCTGTCTGAGGCTGGCGGCTGACACTGCTCAGTGCTGTGTGTTTCATACAGGAGAACCAGCAAATAGGCATCAAAGCTACTTAATATTTCAGCAGCAAAATATGTCCTTGAGGTGGAAATTACTGTCATAAAAAAATATAATCTCTTGAATTTGCTTAAAGGGAGGTTTAGCTGAGAGTACTTTACTGCATGTATGGTAAAAGAAGATCTATTTACTAATGAAAAGCACAGAATTTAACTTACTGCATTTGAAGTATACTTCAGGGCAAACTCTTTAATCTGCTCGATGTAGATGTTGTTATAGAATTGTATAAGGTCCCCTCGCTCTTCCTCCTCGGTGTCACTGTTGGCACCTGTCAGTCGGGTTGGAGTGGGGGGAGCGCTGTTGGGGTGTGGCACAGGCAGGGTGCTGCTGGATCGCATGACCGGGCTGGAGTCCCGGCTGGCTGTGAGGGTGAGCGCAATCTCCGTTATTCAGCCTCAGCAGTTCAATGCACTTCAATCTCTTTAACCCCAGACATTCAGCCGCAAACCAAAACAGTGTTCCAGATGCATGCACTGCCGTATAGCGACTGTGAAGCTGGTGTCAATATCTGCGATGCCAATTTTGTTCCCTTAGCATCTTTCGTTACAAAAGAGCAGTATGTTGTTAAAAACCAACAAGCTGCTGAGTATGTGTACGGAAACACGTTTGATTTCTAACGTCTTGCTGGATAAACTGCAAGTGGCTTTTCTGTATAAGCTGAGTTTCATCACTATATAAGCAGAGCTAAAACTCCCTTTTTCAGGCATTTGTGCTGTACTTTTAACAGTAGCTCTTCCTTGTTGCCAGCTGGCACAATTTCACATAAGGAACAGCAGTATTTTTCAGCTAGTAGCAGAAATATTTGGTGTGGTAATACTTCCTGATGGTTTAATGTGGGAAGTTGCCAAATATATGTAATTATTTTTCCTCCCCTCCCTGGCACCTGTCTGTGACAGAAAACATTAATACCTACAGTTTATACTGTCATCTATTGAATGTCTTGAAAACTGGTGGCAGGAATAGACAGCATCACTTATTTGCTTTCCTTTATAAAAGTTAATTCAAGGAAAATGTGTTGGTTCAAATATCAAGGAAAGAACCTTCAGAGATGTCAGATATGCTGAAATAGATGCTGTGGGTGGCCAGTTTGTTCTTATCTCTGGAGACAGCCAGCTACTGCTTCTCAGCTAAAACACTGAAAGAAACAGCTGCAGCTCCATGATTGTGGTAAGTAAAAGAGTAACTGTGAACAGGGGCTAGCACTGATTCCCTTTCATTCTACAAAGATGTGGTCTGTGGTGTGCAAACTGAACTCAAGAGTTCAGGCCAGCCATCGTCGTAAACTCTTGAGGTAAGCTCATGTGATGATAGGTTCAAAACTGTCAAAGCGGGTGTAATATTAAGCCTGATTTATAGTAACGCTTAAATGTTATGAATATATTCTTAATTGTGTCCAAGTTTAGCAAAGAAGGAACTGTTTGGGGTGGAGTGACACAAAATCCAGCTCCTACTTTATGCACACTCTTTTGGGAATGGAATTAAAACCAAACATCGGGAGTCTGGAATCACTTACTTCTTTCTTTGTTTCTCTCTTTACTTCTGTCTGTAGGCGAGTTCCGCTGGCTACTGCTGTCACTGCTGCTGGAGCGGTGGCGGCGTCTCCTGCCTTTTATCAGGACGCTGCGATAGACCTGCAGGGAAGAAGAGGAGCGTGACAAAGGGAGGATGATCACATGTGCAGTCATGTAGTCAGGAAACAATAGTCTGCATCTTGTATCTGCTTTTTAGAAACTTCACTGTGGTATCGAATTGCTTCATACAGGGGAAAATACAGCCTCCTAAGAGGAGTATTATCCAGTAGGCGCTGCCTCCTTGGGTTTGAGGTAAAGGTATTTCTATTTTGGATGTAGTTTAGCTTAAAAAGCTTTCTGTAGTGCAGTATTCTGGATACAACTGCTGTCTTCAGAGGAGAGTGGCTCACAGAGTGCATTCATTTAATACTAAATGTTACTTTAAAAAGCGATCCATTTCTAAAATAGAACTAAGGCATTTAATAAACCAGATACCGCGTTGTTTAATACGAACTGTACCTACATGACTTTTGGCTTGTGGTTGTGTCCGGTAGCAGCGCATAATGTTCTGAAATGATCTGTCTTCCTTCGTAACCTAAGAGTGGATGAATAGAAAAGGTTAATAGCTTTTTCTGTCATTCCATTTGTTTGTTTCAGGGTTCTTGTGTGTGGTGTTTGGTTGGTTTGGGGCTTTTTTGAGGAATTATAATCTTTGGAATGTTGAGTCTTAAAGAAATTTTTTGTTTATTTGTTTTTTCTTTATTAGCGCCTTACCTTAGCCATGACATAGATGGCACACATCAGCAGCTGATCCAAATGTCTGTCCATCATGATGTCAGGGCAATGCACCAAGGAGTACTCAAAACACGTCCAGATCTTTTTCCGCAGCTCATCAGATATATCGAGTTTGACACAGAGATCTCGCAGGCGAACACTAGCTAAATGGTACACCTGTTGAAATGGAGACTGCTCAGGGCCACAGCAATGGGACTTTTCTTACTCAGTTGAAAGGGTAGCTCAGACTTGCACACCGTAGAACTTGTGCAAATGATAAGCCAAGGGAAGAATAACTCAATTTAACTTTTTTGTTTAGAGGACATAGACATTCCTAGTACTGGTACTGATGCTAAGAAAACATGAATTATCCTGAGCACAAGAAGGGCACTGCATAGCCTGCAGAAACCACCATATTGAATAAACCAGAATGTCTCAAAGGTGAATTGCTTTCTTTTAAAGAGCTTAAAGAAAATGGACACCTTTAAGTACCTGCTGGCCAAGTACATCATCTATTTCACAGCTTGTGGTGGCTGTGGTGATAGTCTACTCCTTTGCTAGGGAGAATTTGCCTGTATAAGAAAACTACTCTTCACGTATGTCCATGACTAGACAAAGGGTATAGATTAACTTTGAAATGGAATATGCTCTTGTTATCGCTAATAAGTAGTACATATTTTAAAAATCACTGAAGGCTTACCAAAATACAAACTAAGTAAAGCACAAATTAGACTGAAAAGTACCTTTCTAAAAAAGAGTGAAAGTGAGCCCATCTTCCGAGGCCTGCTGGACGTGGCAGTGGTAAATTGCTGGGTTTGTCTTTGCTCTCCCGGAGAGATCTGCTGAACAGTCAGCTGGCCTGGTAACTGCAGTGTTGCCCCAGTCATCTGAGGGTTCAGGGTACTAGCAAGAGTCTGGGCACTCAGAGGTGGAATGGGACCAGAGACACCCGGAGGCTGGGTACCTACGTTTACTTGGACTGGGAAGAAAGTTATTCCTCCATTTTCATTGGCAATACCTGTAATTTAACAAAAAAACTCTGAAATAAGAGCAAGCTGTGGTGGTGGTGGAGGTGTTTGTGGTTTTGTTGTTGTTGTTTTCTTAAGAATTCAGTAATTCTTTTATTAGTTGCTTATAACTATATGTTTAGTGTATTATATATGAAACTGTTTCATCAAAATTCTTTGGCCGAAGTTTTTAACACTAATGCAACTGTCGTCTTGTGCTAGTTCAGGAAGGAAGGCTTACTGAAATAACTAAGTTTTACAAAATAGATGTTGGCAGTCCTTGTGCTGTACATGTTCTGTCTCCAAATTCTGCTCATCTGTTCATATAATTCTTCACAGTTATGAATCCTTAAACATACTTTTTTTCTCCACTGGCGTACATGTTCCTTCCTCTCGCCGTTACTGTGTACTAATACTGTGATGGGAACAAGCCTGAATAATTCTACAGTAGCTTTTCTCTCACCTTGTACTGGTATTGTAACAGTTTGCCCATTATTGGCCGTTACGGTTGCAGTTGCCACTGTAACCAGCGTCTGGCCAGGCACTGGAGTTACTGACATGGCTTCGGGATTCATGTTCTGCACAGGCACCGTATTGACCACGGGCTGTTGGGGAGCTCTGACTGGAGTTCCATTGTCAGAGGTATTATCGTTATCGACAAACAGTCTTCTCCTTGTAGGGTTGGCTGTAGGAGAACTGTATCTGTCATACAGGGTAGTTGGAGAGGATGAAAGGCCTGCGGATTAAAAAACACACACACACATATTTATTTTTTTATATATATATATATATGTTAACCTCTTGATGTATAATCCTTCATTATACAAATACTTGAAAGATATCTAATGAGAAATGAAATGCATCATGCAAGGCCCTTCAAAAAACATTTTTAAAAGCACATTTGTCTGACAGATTGCTTTTAGAGATTAATTTCAAATAATGTTGTGTTTAATAATTTTCTACGCTAATGTATTATGTTTTATTTATCCAGAGAAAAAGTTTGAGACTTCATGTAACTAAACATATAGTGGAGCTTCTGTTTTGGTATAACAATAAGGCAAACTGTTCAGTTGCGACTGATCAGAAGATAAGTAGTGTGTATAAATATTATTTAATGTATGCATACATATATACTGTTCATATACATAACCTCCTGAAAACACCCTATCAAAACAGTATTTTGTTCACACTGAAATGACAAATGCATTGGTCTTAGACGTCTAACCCACCTCTGTGAGTTGCAACAGAAAGACCTTTGACAAATGTGTTTTGCCATTAACCGTACGTTGACATGAAAGCAGCTTCCTTGCTGTACACCTCTTAGACCATGGCTTCAATTTTTAAATTTAAGAAGTGTGTGTTACGCTTAAAAAAAAAAAAAATCTCACCTTTTCTTGGTCCTCCAGTTTCAGCACGAACCTCGTTTATTCGTCTTGGTGTCAGTGGTGAACCTACAACACTGTTCCCAGCAGACCTCTCAAAATACTGAGGTGGCATTACCTAAAATATTTTTACTTTTATTAGAGTGTCTGTATCACAGATTGACTACACAACAAACTCTTAAAAGCTTTTGCACTATGACTTTTGAACAGCAGAACTGCATGGAAAAAATAAAAACAAAATCACTGGAAAAACTTACCCTAAGCATAACTAAAACTTTGTAGTGATTGTGCTACTGAAGAAGATACAGTACTGTAATAATCCTTCATTGATTACAATTAGAAGTCTGTACCTCTTACCACCTTTCTTCCTGTATAGTGATCTTTTCAAGTGTATGTGACTGCTCCAGAAGTTCCCTGCCTGTGGGTTTTGTTCCTTGTTCTGCTACACCATGCAAATAGGGGGTGAGAGTCATCTCAGCCACCTGTCTCTGTTTTGGCTGTCTGTAGAGACGTCCACGCACAGACCAGAGCACACTGCATTGACCGTTCGCGCTGATTAGCTTGTAGGGTGGAACTGAAATTTGGATGTGTGAAGCCTCTCCTTCAGGGTATAACGTCCACTCTTTATCATCCTGTCTGATGAAGAAAACTAGGTAAAATATACAAAATGCTGCTCACCTCTTCACAACTAGGAACTTTGTTCTCATTTTCTCTGATTCTGTCCCACAGTATGGATTCCTGTTTCCATGCCATACATTCCAAAATCTGTTCTTCAATATGATTAAGGTGTTTTACTACTTCCCGACAAAGGCCATCCTCTGCTCTGATGAAGACTTCAATCACCTGTAAGGTGGATAATTATGATTAACATAATGTACTTGTTTCATAGATTTCTTCTTACAGAAAGACCTAATTCTAATGCCTGATTTTCAAGGAAGAAGAGACTATTAGAAATATTAAGGCTGCATTTCTATGACTCAAGCATATGTTGTCTTGTAGTTTTATCCCAAGACAGATATTTGTCTCTTTCTAAACAAACATGTCAAGCACTGTTGGAGAAAAGCTGCGACAACAGCTCATGAAAAAATGATAATCTATTAGTTACTCTATTGGTACTTGGATACTGCTCCTGTGTTAAACTGCTAACAGTACCTTGATTTTTAAATGCCCTGGACACACCGCCAGAATGACAGGCACTTGGGTAATATTGTTTCAGTGCAAAAAAGGGCAAAGCAGAGAATGAAGGGTTAATGTGTAAGTTAACATCTAGGTAAGGTGTTTTCTTCATATAAGTCAACAGAGTATTCATGACTTGATAAGGATTTCTAGCTATCAAATGCTTTACCTTATAAAAATGATAAACTGGAATGTCAAATATTTCAGTGATGAATGGGAAGTTTCCAGGTGGCTTATATGTAAAGGTGATTATCTCAAGGCAACATGCCAGCAGAGATCTGTGAAACACATCTTGCTCCAGTATTGCCTGTAAGAGAGTTGCAAATTTTAATACTTAATTTACAGTGTAACTGTAGAACAGTAAAATACTTTCTATTCTGCCTCAACAGCAAGATTGTCAAGCTTATAAAAAGAGATTTTATTTTGTAAGAGACAGAACAGAATCCAAAATGAGACATATTTACTCATTAAGAATTTCATCTACCTCTGTGTTTGCAAACAGAAATGATTTCTTGTATACTTTTTCTTCCATTCAGGTGTACTTACAGGCTATTTTTCAGAGATTTACCCTTGTTTTAATTAGCTGTTTATTCTGCTCTACAACTGTTTTCCTTTTTTGTAGATCCAACTTTAAAAATGAGGTACAGCTTGATTAGTTTTGCTTACAGATAAGTCAGCATCTCCCAGTCTCCTCCTCTCTTGCTCAATGACTGACTCCAAGACCTTGTAGTATAGCACCTCAGCACGACGAAAATGCTTACTAGCAACATCTGCAGGAATAGTAAATAGAAACAATATTGTGAAATGCAAGAAAAGAATTATATTCTTTATCTAAAGCTATAGAGATACAACAGTTCAGTAGCTTGTGTGGATTTCTGTGCTGCTGGGGCTACACTACTTTCAGGATTAAATCAGTTAACTTTACCTTAGGAATCCCTCTCCTGTGCAGCACTGACTTGCAACTGGTGAGTAGAAGAACTTATTACTGAACCCAGATTTTGATGGAAACACCATGTATACGAACAATCTTTAAATTGCTATAATATAATACACACATTTCAAGTTCAGAAAATACATTGTCTGAGAAGTATACCTATATGGATCCAACTGACACTGTGCAACAGAAAACACTGAAGTAACTAGAACAAATACAAAGAATTAAGCCCTATTAAGAAACAAGAAGGTCAAGACCATCTTCGTAATTTTTAACTCATCTTCATGAGCTTCACAAATCTTGACAAATAATACTTTGTGTTTGTACTGGCAGGATTTTAGTAATATCTGTACTAACCCATCCTTGTATGTAAGCCAAAATCGCTGTAGGACTTTTAAAGAACTTGTCATTACTGTCACAGAAATCCGTGCCATCGTTATTCTTGTAATTAAGAGAAAAGCAGTGCCCTTAAGAGTGCTTTTCGTTTCGCTTCCGTAGAACCGAAAATATAATCAAATTCCAGTGATTTAAGCGAAGGCTGGGTATAAAATTGTAAGCAGGGCTGAAATTTGCCATGCCTTAAGAATGCCAGGGAAAGACATAAGTAATAGAAAATACTCTTGCGCTAAACCATAACCTGTAAGTAAAACTGTGAGTTAGTTACAAGAGATAGACATGTTTACAGGCATTTTAATTCTTATTTTTATAAGTAAAATGTTTCCCACCTTTGGAAAAATTACTGAATTCTCCTTCAGACAGCATACTCTGGCAGTATACTTCATACATTTCTTTCACTCTGTTTGCAATAGATTGAGAAGGATCTCTGGAACATGCCCTGAAAATAAAAACCTCAAGATTTTCAACATACTATTTCTACTAAGACAAAAAAAAAAAAACAAACCCCAAAAAACAAACAACAAGCAACCCGTTTTTATCATACGATTAAAGCATGAAACTATAAATGTCTTGGACAGCAGTACAAACACACCCATATGTGCCTAACTGTATATGTACTGTAAAATGTCCACAGCATATTATTATTGCACATACTGTACAAAAATATGCGCATCTTTTCATGATCAGGGATAAACAGCGTTTTCCACGTGACACAAAAATTGTTTGAAAAATATATTGTACCCGAGGCAACAGATTGTCTACATGGAGAATAAGTTTTATTTTGGATCTCCTACAGTATGGAGTGATTTGCTAGATAGTGAGATCTGCTAAGTAGGAAGAAGAAAAGTCTTGAAAATTTTGTATTAGCAGTTTGTTGTTAGAGAAGCTCAGAACTGTTGGGTTTAAAATACTGTATTTTCTTATAGCCATCAGCCTCTTAAGGACAAAGGTGTCTAAATAAAGAGAACAAAGTCTTTTGAAATTTAATGTCTCTCTGGGTCCTGGGTCCTGTTTTACTCCAGAACCTTTCACAAATGACTCACATTTTAAATTACACTGTTTAGCATTAACATGTGTTTAATACTATTTTAAAAAGAGAATTATTTGTTTAGCTAGACATCAAACTTACCTGAGTATTTTCTCCAGATTTTCACTGGGGGCATTTTTCAGTCCTGCCAGCATCGTATGAAGGCGGCTCAAACTGTATGTTGCTATGGAAACAGGTGTCACATAGGGGTTGCTCTCTCTAATATACTTGCGGCCGGTAAGTGGGGTTGTAATCCTGAGTGATTTGGACTAAAAAGACAAAAAATAAGCATATAACTCTACATTATTGTAAAACTTAGACAAAGGTCGTAACCTACAAATGCCAATCTGTAGAATTCTTACCCTATGTTATGATACAAGCGTGGAAAAAATGGCTAGGAATCAAACAGCCCAAACTAGTTCATGTCTCAGGTAACAGCCAGCAATGAAAGCTTTATCTGTGCCGCTTGGATGATTGTGTCGAATAGTACTGTATAATGTACAGACAGAGAGGATGCAACCTCACAGTGAAATGCGCATACTGAGAGTGAAGTGTGAAACAACTCGGCCAATCTAAAAAAAACCAAAAAACCCCAGCAGTCCCCTCCTGTCCCTTAAGTACCAAAGGTAGCTGTAACTGACCGGAAAGGAGTACTGAGCCAGGGGCTCCTTGCAGTGGGCTTAACTGACATGAAACAATGAGCATTTTAATTCATTTGCATCAGATCAAGTCTTCACATCAAAATAACACCAAGGATGTTCCTTCAAGCAGTGTACAGCAAAAACTATGCACCTTCTAATTGCCTAACCACACAGCTACTTAACCAAGACATACTACATTTTGGGGTCGTTTCACCATTAAGTTCAGCTCCCAATACTCCTCCCATTTGCCCCTCGCGCTCCTAAGTGTGCTTGCTTTCTGTCTCCATACCCTCCCAGTACAGATGGTTCCCCCGGCCCTGCCTTGGGCTCCCCGCAGCAGGCACCAGCACAGGCATTGCAGCTGCAAGCTGCCACCTTACAGGCCATGCTGTGTCATCACTGCAGAAGCATACAGGATTTGCACACCCAGCCCTATGCAGGCAAAACTTAGTGGCTGATTTTTTCTTTAAATAGATCAGAAGCGAAGAATTAACTACTTGTACTGATTTTGCAGAAAAGGTTATCTTGATCTTATCTCTAAAGAATGTTGAAAGCATTAACCAACTCTCATTCTGGAAAAAGATCACATAACTATTTCGGTGATCTACACTATTTTACCCTTTTACTCTCTGTAATCTAATTGTGCTAATACAGCTTATATCCTTCTTTATTTGCCTGTCTTGTATCCTTCCTCCTTTAACATACCTTTTCCATCTTCAGGGACATTTTGATCTTCTGTAATCACAGGTGTATGTATATGCCCTCATTCAAAGCCAGTGCCTGTTACTATAAAGCTAGTCTAGTCACACGAAGGCCCTGATAATTTTACAGGTCCTCACTTTATTGTTCTGAAACATGTAGTGTTCTTTATCCTCTCAAAGACCATATTCTATGCTATTTTATTAGTGATGTATAAAGACATACCTATGTATCATGTTTTTAGGCAAGTAAGGTGAAAATCATTCCCTATGATATAACTAAAACTGTAAACAGATGTAATATTAACATTTGAAGCATATCTGTTAAAAGGAAACAAAACAAAAATGACGTAGAGCAAAGGGCTGAGCAGCTCTGCATATGTTAAACAAAAAACTCTGCGTGTGGGACAGAGATGTGAGGGAAGGGGGACAGACAGGTCCAGAGGACCCCAACAGTTGCAGGACAATTCAGCACCTGCCAAACAACTATGGAAAATTGCCCCTTCTGTTGCGCTCGAATATCTTCACTGAAAGATTTAGGTAAAGACACCTCTTTAGGTAATTACCTAAATATTCTCTATATTGCGAAAACCCAAATGCCTGGAGAAATTCTGAGCAAAAAACCTGTAAGCAAGCCATATATCTAATCAGTTACAAAACCCAACTCAGTTATGCTGTGTACACTCACTGATCACCGTAAACAGTGAAGATGGTATTATTTTAGCAGCTGCTTCTCTGCATCAGACATAGCCCAACTCACCTCATTCTCCATACAAAAACAGCAACAGAGATCATGTCATACTCACCCTGTCAAAGTGCTGCTGCAAATTATGCTTCACTTGTACTCGTTCGGCGGTTTCCATTCCTGAAGTTGTATTCAAGCACCTTGTGAGAGTTCCAATTTCTTCATCTGCATCCTCCCCAAGAAATATTCGCTCATCGAGATTTCCTACTGACAAGACATACTCCTCGTAGGCCTTGTTGATAGCTTTGCTACAACAGAAAGGAAAAGGCAGATTGAAACCTCCCTTTATTGAGACAGTGCTTTGTTCATCTGCTTACTGAACGAACACAGCTCTGGCCTCTTGGAAGTCTACTGCAGAACTTCTTTTAACTCTGACTTAAGCATTGGAGCTCCTTTGATATCTACAATCTCTTAAAGCATGACAGTGACCCGGACATCAGTTTTCCATTATATCTGATGGTTTGCTATTTAATATAGATGCAGGAGGAACATAATAAAGTACTAAGAACTTGTATTTGGATGGAAACGCAGTATCACATCATCATAAACTATGCTTACCATTTTCATACCATTTTAAAGAAAGTAAGTCCTACTCATAAGCATCTCTAGGTTTATAAAGAAAAAAATGCCACCAAGCCCGATTCCAAACCAGGAATACAGTGACTCACAGGCTATCTCCAAAGTTCCCAGGATCTAGAAATCCGGTCAGATTTTCATCTTTTCCTTTTAAAAGCTGTAAGACAGTTACAAACAAAGTTAAGAACTAAGGAGAGACATTTTGATTCTTAAAAACTTTTCGAAGATAACGAGTAAGGGTAAGTTTTCCTACATTACAGATTTATTGACCAACCTTTTTGTCAAAAAGTTTCCGAATATATGGCTTCCAAAAATGTTCCTTTATGCCTTTTGCTTCTAAAACTAGTCCATAATGTAATGAACACAGTTTTTCAATGATGCAGGGAGGATCAGATGATACTTTATAATCCTTACTATGAAAGTCTTCAGGTAGACCTACAGTTAAGAATATTATATTATTTAATTTTGCAAATCCATATTCTGTCTTCTTATTAAACTTAAATTCTGTGCTGTGTAGTCTAGGCAGTGTGAAATTAAAATGGTAAACTAATTAGTTCTCTTGAAAGAATTATTAACTATACAATGCCCACTCAATGTGATAATGTTATCAAAAGGCAATTTTGAGGCAGAGATTTTAATAAAATATATATTTAGTGATAAAAATTTTTAAAATCAGTTTTAATAAAATACCAGTCGAACACTTGTGAACTACAAAATTCATTCAAATATATTTGAGATAATGGTCCAGTTCACATCAGAACAACTACAAAATAAACGTGAATATTGTACAGCACTGAAAATGAAGTAGAAGTCTGGAAAGAATGACATCAGAATTTCAATGGAAACTTCTCACCATTCATTTGCATTTGTGGTTATCAAGCCCACCTACATTTCCATTCTCTTGAGCAGCAGCAACCCAGAAATGAGAGAGGAACCATCAGGTTGCCACTCTCATATTTGAGGCGCTGGATCTTTCCAAACTGTTGCCTCACAGAACTCTCCAGTCTGACTGTCTCCAAGAATGACGGTATCATTGTGTGCTCTTTCACTGACATTAAAATGTCATTAACTGAAATTTTTACTTCGGAACTTCCTTCAGTGGTATTCCCATAGTAAATTAAATTCTTGACGTACTATATTACTGCTACAGTTCACTAGTCTGTTACTACCGACTGCATTAACAGAAATCTGTGTAGCCAGATATAGAAAATACTAATTCCCACATATTTCAAATCAATATTATTCAATTTATTCTCTGCCACATAGATTCATACTGATTTCAGTAGTCTTATAAGTTCTTGCATGCAGTGGATAAAGATAGATATTTTTTTTTTCCAACATACCTTTAAAATTAGGATTCAGAAGTTCTTTTCGGTTAGGACACTGGAGAGCATTTCCATACACTAGATCCAAAGCACACAGCAAGAGATGGTAGGAATTGACCAAGTCATCACTGATCATAGGAAAATTACCTTTCAATATTAGAACAACATAAGAGATTAATTAAAATTGGCATCAATTTAAAATTCTTTTAACCATGAAACTGTTGAGGTTTGTATCACAATCAGTAATGCAGTCTTGAAAACAGAGACTTGGGTGACTATAAACATCCGGATAGAAACACAGGCAGCAAACCAGACATACGCTTCATAAAATAATCATAAAATATGTTTTCAGGAACAGCAGCAATTGTGTAGGAACTCAAATACATTGTGCTGTTCTGAAAACAAGCATCACCAAAATGTTGATAAATGTGATATTGCAGACTCCCTCTTTCACGGTAATATGATTAATCAGTGAATCAGTGCATAAATAACTTCAAGCAGCATGAACTGTATAATGCAAACTGCCTCGAGGAAGAAAAATTGGTTACCATAACTCTAGCAACACAAGCCCTGCTGTCTGGAAGTGTTACATCCTGCAGCAGATTCTTACTCCCTCTGCCTGAAGCAGAATCTTGTTCTGAAGCTGTAAAAGGGGGAAGAATGGGTTCCAGCCGAGACCTTCCTTCTCCCCAATTCTGCATTGCTTTTAAGTTTTGCAAAGACCTTTAACTTTTGCTAGACTAGACCCGAGAGCTCAGACGTCCTAAAAAAAGCAAACACCATCCCCTGCTTCAGCTCCCTCCCCATTTTCCAGAATCTATATGCCACTCAAAGATTATTTGCCACTCGGAGATTATTTTTCTTGCCAATCTTTTTTTCTTTACAAAAAAATTTGTTGGGGGCACGCTCATTACAAACAGTAAAAAAATTAACTTTATTTCTTTTGTGCTTTACGAAAGAGTTAAAACGTGTATCTCATCTGGTTTACAACGTAGCTTTATTTCGTACACCTCTAAATATTTTTTATTTATCATCTTCCTGTAGAAAAGAATCCTTGTAACCTCTTCACTCTTCTATCACCTTTCACAAAGATTATATTCAGATTCATTGCAGCTTATGAAACTCATTTAGGTTTACAATATTCCTTTAGAGGAATGGCCACAGCTAAAAAGTTTGTTAAATGAACTATACCATTAATTAGTACCATAAATCACAATTCCATGAATTTATATGCACAGCATGATTTTCTATCACTCTTTCAGTGCTAACAACTCTTCTCTTTTTTTTTTTTTTTTTTTTTCAAGTAAGCTCCAAACCACTTAGCTGAGCCTTCTATGAAGACCAGGCTTAACTCCTTGAAGAAATCTACCATATAGTGATAAACTCACTCGGAGCACATCAAAATGTGTGTACGATTAAAGAATTTCTCGAAATTATACTGTTACTTTTCTACCAGTAACGTACCAGTTTGTTCAAATTTATATTTGATCTTCTGATTCCACATTTGTTGAAAGAAAAATAATTTCAATGCAGATAATTGGAACTGTTTAAAATAACGAAGACCTACATGAAATTTGTATTAACTGTATACACTTATCAGTTATTTCCAAATCATTAAAGGTTGACAGCAAAGCAATGAAAGTGCTAAATACAATATCAAAATGTTAATCAATAAAAATCTTCAAGAAGTAACTCTTGTAACATAGGTTCACTTTCATAACCATGAAGTCTAGCATGGCAATCGTTATCATCAGCACAGTCAAAAATAAATCCAAATTTTACAGTATCAGTAGTTCCATACAAATTATTTGTCAATGACATTTCAAACAATAGCTTACTACTCCCTTTCACAAGCTAGTAACAAATAATTAAAAAGTTATCTCAGTGCAACAGAGAGATATTTTTTCATTTATATTTTAAAGAGAGAAAAAAAGTCAAGATAGTTTAAAGATAAATTCTCACAGCAGTATGCAAGAACTGCAGTGTCGCTAAACAAAGTCGCTGTCCTTACTTTGCAGGGCATACCAAAGGTGAGAAACAAGATCTGTACTTTCTGCATTTGTGAAACTGAGCGCAATGATCTTCAGGCTTGCAGAAATATCACAGAGACAAGCCTGAACTTGCCACTGATGTGCGGTTGCCATGATAAAGGATTACTGCCAACCCTCAAAACACAGTGATCAAAACTTAACATGAATATTTTATGCCTTAAATGGTCAACAGTTAGTTTACATTTTTGTGCTGCCACACTTTAATAAATCTACCACTAGTCACTAATTTTACGGTTTGCAGTTACTGTAAATTTTCCTTTTTCTTGTAAAACTGAATTGGTTGTGTTATCAGCATGGAATTCTCTATGAAGTTAATTTGCACGTCTGAAACTGCTTGCCAGTTAATGTATAGTTAATTGATGACGTAGTTACTCAAACATATTAACCAACATTTTAGCAATAGGAAGACTTGTAAAGTCCCTTTCCACCTTGTCAGCTGTCCAATCTACCCACAGAAGTGAAGATTTTATAGAAGGGAAAAGAAAAATCTGTGATTTTTCAGACTGACCTACTTACTCCCTCAGCTGCCTAACTGTGCTAAAGAAGTGAAGTCCTGACTGACTGGAAATCATGTACAGTACTAACTCCCCTCCGGACTCAGAGGAATGTGAATAGGTATTTCATACTAACTGAGAGCGCTATTTTGGACTGAAAAAAAACCCCAAACCATACTGTGTTTCAGGGCTGCAAGCAACATAGCTATTTAGGAAAGATTTATCTTCCCCATTCAAGTGGAATTTGCAGCCTGTTGGAAAAAAGCACCTTCTATGGTGATCTTCTGCAGATACAGTGTTCAGAACAGCACTCGTGCGACACCACACCCTTCTTTATCTTTGTACAAAGATGTGATGGTGAGGGTGCAGTAATATTGCCAGCAACTTTTCCAAAAGGGAGCTGCTGGCAACCCTCTGTGATGTGGTAGTATAGAAAGAAAGGCTAATCTGTGTTGAACAAAACTAGTGCCAGATAATTCAATATTGTGACAGCCTACTCTTATCCTGTCCTCAAAAGCAGCCAATTAAGGAAATCACAGCACACTGCAGGAATCTTAGTACGGCTTTACTTTTAAATTGTAAAAACCCCCAAAACATCCACCACACACCCCAAAAACAAAACAGAATTCCTTTTATCCCTTTCCTTGTAGAAGTTAAACTATTCGTTTTCTTCTACTAGAAGTTCTCTTAGGAAAAAATATGAAAAGTCTCTGGAAATTATTAATGGACCTGAATCTACACAGAAGTTCCTTCAGTGAGGAATATAAAATTTGTCTTTATTTTCCTCAAAATACTATCTTACTTCTACAGAATTCCCATTGAATGCTCACCTAAGCAGTACCTGACTAAAACCCTAGCTATGCAAAAAACTCTTTAAGACCCAGGTTTGACGAAGAAAAACTTTAGACTATATGTGATGTGACTGAACAACTTAAGCCTAAAATAAGGATTTAATCCTGTTCCCTCCTCTAGCTTTTTCTCCCATCAGTCATTATCAAGAAAACCTGCTGAAATCCTCTGCTATTCTAATTAGCTCTAAGGCTGCTCTTATGATAAAGATTATGTATACATTGCAATGTCTGTTCATTGCATTATTTCTATAGAACCATATTAACAGAGGATCCCCTTACGTGTTCCAAAGGAATCTGAGCCTTCAAGACAGTCAGCCATTTATATATATACTGCTATGTCCAAAACGCAAGAGAAAATTGCCCTTGCAAGACAGGCATATGCAGACCTATTCAGTAATGCATATCATTATTTGATGCAGTTGCTGTGTGCTCATTTTTTAAAAAGGTAGGGGGTCAAAAAGAATTAGAATGCTATCTGCAATACTAGTGTGAAAGTATTGACACCTAGAGTTTTATGATAAATTTTTGCCAGGTTGTAGGAAAAAATTCACTAAATATTTTCAGTGTTGCTAGAAACTTTGGAGAAATATTCTTTGTTCCTCGTAAACATGCATATCTACCTTATGTTAATTAGAACATCTAAATATGAATTCAGTAAAATTCTAAGCTACTTTTTCTCTTGGAATTACAGCATAAATCTCCACAATACTGGAAACTTTGTAAAAATATTCCCCATAAAAGCTACCAAACTATTTGGACATATAGCTTACCTGAGAAGTGTGATAAAACATGCAGCTGCAGAAATGAAGGCAGAATACATTCTTTCAGGCTGTTCTGGGAAGGCCTCTTCTCCAAAGGCATTTCTGAATTCAGAAACGCCTGCACCTATTCAGTGTTTAAGGACTGATGTAATACAATGACTAACAAAACCAGGTTTAATCCCTTTCAATTTTCTTACCTTTTGCATGAACAAACAGCACCCAACAGAACTGGAAAACTTCAGTCACAGTGCATGGTTGTCGTCTTTTGGGAAAAAATACAGCAAGAATACGCCCTTTAAGCTCAGTGAATTAAGACTGATAGAACATCATACAACATTCAGCCCTTCTAAAAGCAAATGAACCTTTACTATAGTGTGGCTAAAATCTTAAACCCTTCCCATAAAAACCTGACTAAAAGTAATAAAGCAAGCTGCACACTCGTTTAGTGCAGACACAAGTGGAAACCCCGTCTCAGCCTGCATGTAACTATTCAAATGTCACTATGGCAGTCCAACACAGCAGATTCCACTAGAAACAGGCCAAGACTTGAGCAGAAAATTACTGTAAACTTAACATTAAACATGGCTGGTCTAAATGTTTTCTTTTAAGGCAAAATTGTGATCTTGGTTCCAAAGAACAAGTAAGTATCTGAATTTAAAATCTACAGAAAATATTATTTCTGTTTCTTCATACAATAAATGGTACATATAGTCAATCAAAATAGTTTGGGAGCCAGAGCTGAAATTCCTTCTTCATAAGCATTCTGAGAAATATAAGCCTGTATATATGTTCTTGGAGGAACGCATTACACAACATGTTGATATTAACATACCTAGTACAGGCAAGAATTTCAAAACTGTGTGACCACAAAAGTGTCATCTATGTACTAATGTAAAGTGTTTTGTATAGGATTTTATATAGTATACAGAATTTTGAAATATAGTAAATGTTTCTTAGAACCAAGTTTCTCTGCTGGTCTTTGTTTAAAGTGCTTTCAAATAAAATATAACTCATTCATGAGGCCCCTTTTTAAATTAAAGGTTTATAGCTATTAAGGATTTGCTATTTAATACTGCTGCACAGACCATGCTGGACAGTTCTCCTAGATCTCCTTCCTGCTTTCACATTTCTCGCTATTGTGTTCAGTCTGCGCTCTTGGTAACAGAAAAATCTTGGCAGAGTAATCAACTCATCCAATTTCCCCCCCCCCACCCAACACCACTCCCAAAAATCAAACCCCCCCAGCGCCAATTTTTATAACTCCATAACATCATTCCTTTCTATTTCCTATATCGCAGCTCGTCCTCTATCAGATTACATGAAGAATGGTTTTAAATATCAAAATTAACATACAATTCACACAAAAATTAGTAAGTATCACCTTCCAACTTAATCTTCAAAATTACTTCACACCTTACCACCCGAGCTAACCAACTAGCAGGGTTTACTCTTCTGATCACAGAATTAATGTATGCAGGATATTTTAAATTCAGCATTATACACAAATATACATCTCAATACATAATTCTATTCCATCTATAGTTGAATTCCAATTTACTTACCTTTTGCATTCTCCAAGAAAATCATTTAAGCACAATCCCATCTTTTATTATAGATTCAAATACATTTGGTTACAAATGTCACTAAGTTACGGTCACAAGAACATCAAGGGGAGAAAAAAAAAAAAGCCAAAAAATCCAACTAAGAAGTAGTCTGTAAATATTAGAAAAAGTGAAATAAAATAATTTTTAGAAAAAACCCCAAACAAACCACAAAAACAACCAAACAATGGCACTTCACAGTAGTGAAGATGAAAGAAATAACAAATAGGAATAAAACAATCTCTACTAACTACCGTGAGCAATCGTAAGCCGTGTGAAGTACTGGCACAAAGAGACGAAAACTTCTTGAGATCAGAATAGCCAGAAAAAGCAGCCAGCATGTAATTTTCACAGCACTCCTAATATGAACAATAACAAAGAAAAAAAGCCTCTACCATAAAGTAAAATACCCAGAAGGTCTGTGTCTATGAAGACAGCTGTGGGAATTACTAGGCAGTGAAATGGACTGAGTCATTCTATGAGTTATTGAGGCGACACTGATCGTACAATGATCAAATCTTCCAGCATTTCCCATGTTAGAAATACTAAGATTTCTCTCATGCACACACTGCTTTTAATCTCTCTCCTTTCCCCTGCCCCTCAAATCACAGAAACTTAACAGCTTTGGAATTTCCTGTATCTTGTCAGATGTGACCAACTGCAAAAAAGATTCAAAAATTACTGCGAGCAAGGACAGACAGACCAGCTCTGATATTATAAAGAACTACTATGAAAACACAGTCAAAAATACAACTAAAACAACTGAGCAACTTCATTATATTTTTGTAATAGTGATACTCTAAAATCAGTCTGGAAATAACAGAAACATACCTCTGTTTTCTTCCTCTCTGTTGACGAGGTTGGTCTTCTTGAGGATATCTGAAAATGTCCTGAAAAATGGGCTCATACTTCTTAAAAATTACTGCAGAAACTGTAAAGTTTCTTTCTAATCTCTCCGTTCGTTCTCTGAATTGGGAGGGTAGATTTGCCATGTCTTCCCATTTTTTCATCTTGTTAAAAAACTCGATCAAGCTGAAAACACCAAACAGGTTAGATCTGAAATGTTTTTTGTGTTGTTGTTCCCCCCCCCCCCCCCCCACCCCCCGAAATACACTGTACATTTTATTTATTTACAACAATAGTGCAACTTTTACCTCCCGAACTACTGATAAAATGGCGGTATCGCAAACATGACAACCTACCCAGAGCCAGTCCTTTACCTATAAACAAGGAGGAGCTCAGACAGCTCACAAGTATTATAATATCTTCGGCTGATAACCACATTCACAGTTCTTGGCTTTTCCTCACAAAGACACAACCAGCTCCAATAGTCAGATTACTCTGAAATCTCATTTCCCTCATTTTTCTGAAAAAGTTCACTAACTTAAATAAAACAAGCTGGGTTCTACAATGTTAAGAAGATTCTACAAAGCATAAACACCCCCCCCCCAAGTGTCAGTAAATTTCACTTCATAAATATGGCTTTCTTTTATTTTTCACTCCTTTATCTACACCTTTCAATGTTATAGGTCCTTGATAGCTGAGATCACAGAAACTCTTTATCCACATTCAATTCCATGAGTTGCTGATTTGGAAAAAAAAAAAAAAAAATTTAAAGGAACACTTTTGTATGTTTGTAACCAATAGCAATGCTCCAGCAGCAGAGGAGATGGGGAGAAAAATTATTTAAGAGCTTTTTTTTTTTTTGGCCAATCTACGAAATTATTACAAAACAATCAGATTGCTAATAAATAAAGTCAATTGGTCAACTGTTTCAGGAAGTTTTTCATTATTACTTTACAGACATAAATATTTAACACGAGTTTGTTTATCAGGTTCTGACATCACTTCAGTTTCATACAGCTAGAACATGTGAAAAATGAAGTCTTCTTACAAAAAAAAAGAGACATTGTATGAATATTTTTACAGCCACTTAAAAATGGTTTCTCATGTGAGAAGGCCACACTTTGCACAGTCTTCAAAAATAAAACTGTTCTGCAGGGACTTGTATCTTTCTCTCTTGAGAGAGGAAAAGCAATCTCTGATTTTGAAAACCAATGTTTTTATGACGTAGTAATGACCAAATGGAACTTGCCCTACTTCTGTGGCAATGAACTATAACACAAAGATTCTGATTATATGAATTCTATCTTTACAAGCAGGAAACAAGACAGATGTTTAACCTTTGTTCTCAATTTCTAAGTTTCACACGCTGATTAGCAGTCTTTGAGATTTTACAAATGTTTAAAAATTTGCAACAAGAAAAGTTACCTTTGTTCGGAACAGCGCAAAATTCTGGTTAAGGATACGTAATTTCCCTCAGCTGTTCCTCTGCTCACAGTTGGAACTGCTTTTCTGCAAGCCACATACAAGGCACACGCTAGCCAGTGCAGATCGTTTCCCTGTGAATTAAAACGTCAGGCATCTAAAAGACTTTATCGAAAAAAAACCACCATACTTTTCAGCCCTGTGAGCAGCATCAAGGATAGAACTGTGTCCTAAACTCACAAAGTTCAACCAGCAACAAAGTCGATTCGTTGTTTCAAGGTTCTGTTGAGCTACTTTGTGGTTTTAATTAGGAGACAAACAGGTGTCAAACCCATACCTACTATTGAACTGTGTCAAAACTAAAATTACCTAGTTACTAGTTGCCTTTATAAGTTTCACACCCGACCCAAAGTTTAACAGTATATTTTTAGTGTTACTCTTCTCCTATAATAACATTTTGTATCGCCCTGGTGTTACAACACGCTACAGCTCCTTCCTGTCAGAAGGTTCTCCTGCCCCTGGCAGACGGTGGGAACGGAAAAACATAGTTTCCATTTTTCTCTGTGTTACGCAACAGAAAAATTGCTCCGTCTGGTCCCTAAAGACAGAAATTAATTCCAAAGAAAAGCTTTCAAATGTTCTTCTCCCTCTACGATTAAAAAAACAAACGTTTTAATGGGGGAGAGGCAGTAGCAAGGGGGGTCACGGGACGCTGAGCTGGACGCCGCGCGTCTCTCGAGCTGGGCGGTCCGGCGGGGCCGGCCGAG